TTAGTGATTTTTCTTCCAGAATATTCTCTCGAGAAAAACCCAACATACAGTCAGCACTGTACTCTAACACTCCTTTTGTGATTTCTCTTCCAGAAAATTCTCCACAAACACATATCCGTTCTGTATTCTCTCTTGAGGTGAACCACACGCGCTCTTCTCTCTCTCACCGTCCATCCGTGAATGATGATTCTTGACTTCACTGCCATCTGAGAAATGTGGGCTTGACCGGTGGAATAGGAAACGGACTGATGCTCGCCAGAATGGATATGGAGCCAGGGCCGAAGGACCTGAGGTTTCTTCAACCACCACTACCTTTCACAGGCAAACGTGAAGTCCATCAGGGGCACATATGGTTAACCGGGACCCCCCAGAGTTTCAGCTCCTGGGTAACAGGTCCAAAACTGAAATTAAGGCTTTGGGGGTGAAATTTTATTTTTTTTTGGGTTTTTTTTTTTTTTGCCTGTTTTTGTCTTACTTCAACGAAAAAAAAGGAAAAAAAACTAAAGAATTTGAATCCAGCGACGTTGGGGAAGGCCCTCACGGACGTGGAAGTCAGACCAGTGCTTTCAGGAATGTATCTGGCCAGAACGTGTGGAAAAATGATTGCTGATGTTTTCGTTTTTGTTTTTGTTGCTTTTGTTTCCTTACGTGCCCTGCCAGTGAGGCAGGGCGGATTCCATGGCAGGCAGCTAACTGCCTCACTTCCTCATAGTACTGTGGATTCCTGTATCTGGCCGCAATCACAGCATAAAGGATGCTTCTTTTTTTCTTCTTCTTTGTTTCGTGTTCAGTGGACAGACGCCCTCACTGAGGACGCAGTCACACTGGCACCTCGCAGAATGCATCTGATGGATATCGCAGCGTTAGGGAAGTGCTTTTTTTTCTTTTTTCTCTTTTCTTTTATTTTCGTTTTTACGTTCTTCCGCAGATGCAACTGCCCAGGCTCGGCAAAACTCGGTGCGCAGTGAAATTCAGACTCGGCAAAAACAGGAACGGAGGCAGTGGTGTTTTAAAAAAAAAAAAAAAAAAAAAAAAAAAAAAAAAAAAAAAAAAAAGTGGGCTTGAGACCGCCCGTTTTTTAGGCCGGCCGGCCTTAAAGGTCACCTATGACCTTTCAGTTATCGAACTGTGCGACCGAGCTTCACATTCGGGGCATATGGCTTGTACCTTTCATATGGCAAGACTACCATGTTGCCCCGAATAGAACGCCCGGTCATTATAGCTGTAGCTCGACTGAAAATTTCACAAAATACACAGCTATAATGACCGGGCGTTCTATTCGGGTGAAGACGGTAGAGGGTAGAGGAAACAACGCATGCCATAAAAGCGCATTCACAGATCCAACGGGGGGCAGCACTCAGAGCATACTCACACTTGCACAATCTTAGATGCATCTGCATCTGACCCTAATCAGAGCAGAACTAGACTGAAACTTGCACCAAATACACGCGGCGGCTGTAATGACCGGGCATTCTATGCGCTCAGAATGTGCTTAAAAAGCTGAAGGAGCCCGCGGACTACAATCCCAGAAACCTAAGATCAATTTCTGATAATGGGGAGGAGCATGCGTGAGTCTCCCATGTTCTCCATATTGAATTGCCGGGGGAATAGGAACCGGACTGTCGCTCCCCAGAATGGTAGGAGCCAGAACCAAAAGGTTCTGTTTTCTTATAAAAAAAAAAAAAAAAAAAAAGGTTGCACTTCGTGCCCTAGGACAAAAGAATTCATTGACCCGTACCTCGGAAATCATGATTCTGTAAGAGTCCATTTAATTGAATCATAAATTGCGACCCTATCCTTGTGTCCTGAGCTGAATTTTAGTAAAAGGTGCAATAGTCCGCGCGGGCAAGGTGCCCGAGCTCCGTAAGGATCTGGGTGTGTATGGCACGAAAAGTGAAAAAAGAAAACGGGGGCTGGGAAAGGCGACGGATAGCTGAAGACCCGACCCCAGAAATGGGGTAGAGTTTTTTGCTTTCAAGGTGAAGGTACACGAACGTATTTGCTTTCAAGGTGAAGGTACACGAACGTAGCAGGGTGCGCGAGTGTTTATCAACCCCCAGCTTGAGCGCAGTTAGGGAGAAGATAAGCATGTCTGGTTCCAAACACAATGCAGAGAAATGCCTGCTCAGGCAGCAACAAAAAGATGGACTGAGAGAAGCGCCCGCCCTTCTCTCTCTCTCTCTCTCTCTCTCTCTCTCTCTCTCTCTCTCTCTCTCTCTCTCTCTCTCTCTCTCTCTCTCT